AAAGGCACGACCAAATACCTCTTCTGGAATTGCCTCCACCCTCGCCTGTAGCTCTAGCTGCTAGAAAAACAAAAGCCACTAGACTCTTAACTAACCTTCCTTGTTTAGACCTGGTCTGTTAGTCTGAGTTTTGGCTCTCATTCCAGTGGGGCTCATGAATCACCTCTGCCACTGACTCCAAACGTCCATTTACACATTTAATGAGCATCCATTGAACACTCACTGCATTTATTGATCACTGTGTACTTGCGAGTCATGGTTGTGGGCGAATGGTATTTGAGGACAAATAAGGCATGGCCCACACTTGAGGAACTTGTAGCTTAATGAAGGTGTCAGAAATAAAACAATAACTTATGATTCAATGCAATACATACTACAATAGAGGTGTGTGCAGTGTGGGCCCACAGCAGAAGTGGTGAATTCTGCCATGGATTAGGTCAGGGATGTGACCATGATGTTTTTCTGAAGGATGTAATATTTGAAGTTGAGTTGGTGTGGGTTGGATAATCCATGCAAAACGAACAGGGTGATAGAATAAGAATCAGTCTGGAGGTATGCCTAGTAAAGTAGGAGGGGAAGTCATGTGCTCAGAGAGTGTTGGGAAGTTATAATGCAAATAGTAACATGTATTAGGCCCACACTGTGCTGAGTTTTTTGTAGCATGATCTCATTTATGCTATAAAAATTTTATGAGGCTGCCACTCTTGTTATTTTCATAATGAAGAAGGAGAACGGAAAGAAGAGTATCACCAACTTGCCAAATCACACTGTAAAGGACTGGTGGGATATTGTACTATATAACAATGAGAATACAAATACTGACCCTTCATAGTGGACCAGATATAAACAAACAGTGTGAGCATTCCATACATGCCAGGCAAATACTAACCCTGATCAAATCAGAAATGGAATCCAGGCCATCAAACTGTAGACCCTGTGCTGTAAGACTTATTCTATACTACAACTAAGATAAAACTGGAACTATTGATTGAGAGTAAAACATGAAGGGCTTTAGGTATACACAGTAGGGAGGCATGGAAATTATCAGAGATGGGAAATGACAGAAGATGTAAACATAATTATGTTTGAGAAAGATTAAATGACAGCAATGTTTAGGAGATGGGGGAGACATACATCAGGAAGACTAGACTACTATTACAATAGTCAAGACAATGGCCCAAATTATGACACTATGTGAAAACGAAGAGAATTTGATAAAGCTGAAGGCTATTTGAGTGGAGAATTGATAGGACTTTGTGAGCAAATAGGTTCTGTGGTGAAAAAAAGAGTTAAAGAAAATTTGTACTTCAGGTAATTGGATGGATGGCAATATGCTTATCTAAGATTGCAACAGGGAAACAAGAGCAGGGGAGAAGCTGACTCTGAGCTCTAATACTTAGTGGTTTGTGATTTCTTACTCCCCCCAGTGTTCTCTGTTTCCTCTTCTCCCTTTCTCTCTCTCTATTATCTCTTCCTAGCGTGTTCATTAATTAAAACGAATTTCAAGATTCAGTTAGCTCACTTTAATTTTCACTTCTAATATCAAAACTCAGGAATTTGAGGGGCCATTCTTAGAAATATGCTCACTCTTCCATGCCTCTGTGCCTTTGCAGATGCCATTCCTCCCACCAAGGAGTCTTCTCCATACCTCGCTTGCATAGTGAATACCTACAAACCCACTTTTCCAGGCTCCAAACAAATGATACCCCCATGATTTCCTCCCCACGCAATGTTCCCACTCCCTGATAGTCTTCCATAGGAATCAGTTCATACCTCCATCAGCGTTTCTCATATTTATATTGCAGTTGTTTGGTTACTTGTTCACCTCCTCAACAAAGGCGAGGTCAGGGACTGGTGTTTTGCATTTTTTTTTGTCCCTGGTGCCTAGCAGAGCACCTGGCAAACGGTGAAAGCTCAAGATGTGTCCACTGAATAAGAAATTAATGAATTGATGGGTGGCATGAGGATTGAATAAGTTATAATGTATGTGTAGAAAGGTGATTAAGGTGACAAAGCATATGGATACCATGGGAATGGGAGCTCTTCCTGCAGCCACGTGCATCCCTTCCAGGGCTGGTCTGAAACTTTAGGTACAGTGAACCAAGGACAAGAGAGGGGCTAATGATTTTCTTATGAGGAATACAGGTGTGAAATATGCCCCAGATGTGATATTAAAGAGGAACTGGGACTTTTCAGTAACTTCCACTTTCCATATATGATTTTAACTTCTCACATACTACCTTTTAATCATTTCTTTGATTTCCCCCCCCTCAGTCCTGTCCTTAACTCTCTGATCTGAGGTTCAAAGTAAGAAAACACTGATGAGGGCCTCTCCAGGAAGGGTTGCCAGATTCAGCAAACAAAACTACAGGATGCCCAGTTAAATTTAAATTTCAGCTAACCAATAAAATTTCTTTTTTGTGTGTGTGTGGTACGCGGGCCTCTCACTGTTGTGGCCTCTCCCGTTGCGGAGCACAGGCTCCGGACGCGCAGGCTCAGCAGCCACGGCTCACGGGCCCAGCCACTCCGCGGCATGTGGGATCTTCCCGGACCGGGGCACAAACCCGTGTCCCCTACCTCGGCAGGCGGACTCTCAACCACGGAGCCACCAGGGGAACCCCAAAATATGTCCTGTGAAATGTTTGGGACATACTTATACTTAAAAAATTACTCACTGATTATCTGAAATTCAAATTTCATGATGCATCCTGTATTTAATTCTGTAGCCTTAGCTCCAGTTCACTTTCTGCCAAGGATCGAGAACGTGCTCTGTACCCTGCACCTTTGATAGATCAAACTGAGCTCAAACACAGGTGAATGATGCAGGTCAATGGGAAATCTAGAGACGAATGGGGAAAACAGACCAGATACAGATGGATCTGTGCACAAACAGGCCGGTGACTGCAGGGTTCATTGCGTGACCCCGACTTTCCGCCAGTTACAGCACTGAGCATGTGCCGGTGCAAGTAAGTTAATAGTTAAGAGCACAGACTTTGACAGGGAACCTTACTCAATACTCTGTAATGACCTATATGGGAAAAGAATCTAAAAAAGAGTCGATATATGTATTATGTATAACTGATTCACTTTCCTGTACAGCAGAAACTAATACAACATTGTAAATCAACTATACTCCAATAAAAATTAATTTAAAAAAAAAGAGCACAAACTCTGAAGTCACATGTCCTTGAGTTCAATTCCTTGTTCTGGCTCATACATGATTTGTAATGCTAGGCAAATTATTTAACTTCTCCAAGCTTGAATTTCCTTATGTAAAATTAGGATAATAATGGCAGCCTCTCAATAGCTTTGTTGATATATTTCATCTAGTTTGATTCCTGGTCAGAGTTAACAACATTAGCCTACTACTATTACTACTACTATTATTATTATTATTATCATCATCCCTAATGCTGCTTGCGTGACTAACTCTCACTCCCTCCTCTGGGACAATCCAAGGTAGAACAGGATAGGATAGGATAGAAAAGCAAGTTTACCATTTAATTTTTGCTTAGTATATACAAGATACTGTGTTGTTTGCATGTGTTTTTCATCCAGTCCTCATAACAACCCTGAGAGATAGCATTATTCGTATTTTGTAGACATTGGATCCAAGGCATAAAGAAATTAGGAACTATTTCTAAGATCACATAGATACACAACTTGTAAGTGGCAATCTGAAACTTAAACTCAGTTGTCTGATCCCAGAGCTCAACCACTAACACACACATCAAGATCTGGCTATGAGATTTCCAAATCAGACTACAAGCATTTCCTACCTGAAGAAAGAACTCTGATGACCTTCAGTTACACATGGAAATGGTCATTGGAATTACAGCATGCCATATTCCTTTTATTTTCATATCCTCTTGCCAAACTAGAATGGCATTCTGAAATAAGGTACTCACTTCCTTTTCCTAGCTTGGGTAAAACTGTCTTTCATAATCCCAGTTTCTCCTCTACCTAAAGTCAAATTCATTTGCATATGTCAATGGAGGCTAAGTCACAAGTTCTTGACTGCTTTTGATATGGTGCACCTTAAAGTGCAGGCATTATTATCAGGCATTTTATCTGCTGTCTCCTAGGTCCTTAAGATAGTGCAGATGGCTAGATGGGAAATTATGTTTCAGTTTTACAGATGAGGAATCTGAGACTTAGAGTGGTCTCAGCCATTTGTCAGAGTTACAAAGATAATAACTGATAGAACTATTACATGAGTCCATGCTTCTCTTCTGAAAATTATTTATTAACTCATTTATTCAGTACATATTTATGGGTATCTTTTATATGTAAGGCACTATCCTAGAAACCGGAGCTATCTCAGTTCTGCCCTTGACATATCTATAGGCTAAAGGAGAAGAGAGCTATTAAAGTACTTAGTTCCCAGACAACTGGTCAAGGGCAATATGGCAGGTGATGGCAGGTGATGGCAGGTGATGGAGTGACCATCTGGAGAAGGGTGGAAGGGCCATGATGGAGATTTTGCAGAGAAGGGGGCATTTGAGCCTGAGCCTGAGTAATAAGTAGGAATGTGTCAAGGAGAGATAATAGGGAAGCTATCCCAGGAAAAATAAAGGGCCTGAGCAACGGCATGGGAGTGTGAATGGGCATGCCCAGGTGGAGACAAGACACTAGCTCAGAGCATGGGAAGGAAGCAGAGCGCACAGGGAGGGAAGGAGTCACGCCTCACCAACTGTTGTTGCTTGCTCCTTGGCACTGAAAAGCAGTTCTGCCTGATCCCCATCTAATTGTCAATGCTGGCAGTGGAACTAACTCCAAAAGAATGATTCCGGTGCCATTTATAAACACACATTAGAAAAACCAAGAGGGTTTTTCTTTCCCTATCTGTAAAACCCTTAGTTTGAAAGCTAGGGCAGGGCTCATTAGTAGAGATCCGAAAGCAAGCTGTGTCTATCTTATGCAACAACCTGAATTCCATAGCAGATGATGTCACCTATAAATGCCCTATAAATGGAGCAAGGCTTCAGGTGCATCTGAACAATTTAACTGCATCGATACCCACTGCTACAAACATGGCTGTCTCAGTGCTACGGCTGACAGTTGTTTGGGGACTGCTTGTCTTAATTCTGACTTGCCAAGCCGGTAAGTACCTGCAATCACAGCTCATGCATTGTGCAGTAGTTAGCCATGACTGGAGGAAGTCAGTGGCGCAGATCCAGAACATAAAGGGGAGAGAAGGGAACTTTGGGCACTGCAGAAAGAGCACTGGACTGGGAGACAAGAGACAGATCTTCTAATAAAAAGAAAGTAGGACTTTTATTCAAATGTGCTTAGGTTACAGTCTCTATCAGTGAATGTATGACGTTTAGAATGACTTTTCTTCTTATATCTTCATGTGATATAGTGACACTATTATAATTTCCTTGAGAGCTGGGGGTGTTTATTTTTCAATGATTATAACTAATAATATTCAAAGGCAAAGAGTCTGGAATAAGACTCCTAGGCCTCGCTCTACCACTAGTCAGAAATGTAACTTCAGGCATGCTCTTTAACCTCTAAGGGCTTCACACTTAAAAGGGAATATCAGTAGTTAACTTTCCCATTTAGTTGTCATGAAAATTAAATAAAAGAGACAAAACATATTGGAAAAGTATCTGGTCCATCATGAGCACCCAATAAATATTAACTGTTATTTTTATCATGTATCATCTCATTTGATTCTCATAATCTTTTTAAGTAAACGTGCACAGTTTTATCATTTCCCTTTTTGCAGGTAAATAAACTGTGCTTGCAGAGGGAAAGTTACTTGAGCATAGACACAGGTAGAAGTGGCACACTTGGGATTGAAACCCAAGTCTTTCGATTCTTTCTATTATAAAGTATCTACTTCTTTCATGTCTGTTCCAAGCACATAGAGGACCAAAAGGCAGCATGCAGAATTCTCACTAATTAATTTTTGGTCTAAAGGAGGCAGTGAGCTCTTAACTTATCTCCAATCAGAATGATAGGTCAGAAAACACAGACAGTACAAAGAGTAACAGAGCTTTCCGAGCTCTTCTAAATGTAACTTGGCAGAACTCCCACCCTCCATCACCCACTGTCCACTGGCACAACCCACAGGCAGACACTCCAACAAAGCTACAGCAGGGATGGGCTCAGAGACTACTGTGTCCATCTACCCCTATAGTAATCACCGTGGTAAAGTAAAAAGTGAGATTTATATCCTAGAGACCAGTCCCAGGCCTGTCTCTCATGAACTCTGAAACTGGTTAAAATCAGTTCACTGCTTTGAACCTCAGTTTCCTCATCTGTAAAATGGGATAATTACCAACTGCACCAGGTGAAATGAGCATGCTTTTGTAGTCACTTTGTAAACTATAAAAGCTGTATAAATATCAGCATTACTGTATTTTTTCAGAACTTTATGATTATATTGACTAAGAAAATCAGGTAGTTAATGTAAATAAAGGCTACCCCATATTATAACTGAAAGGAGAAAATATTCAACTGTTGGCTTTGATAATTTGTTTCTGGTATGTCAAATGTCTTCATTTTTATTATTCTTCAGCATTTTCAAAGTTCTTAATATTTTAGCAGCATTTTAAAAGTTTCGTATCTTTAAGCACTAGTGGAGAAAGCTACTATGAATCATTCTGTTGCTACTATTATTAACAATAGTAATAATCACACAGTGAGCATTTATTGTGGGCTCACCTTAGACCTGGTACTGCAATAAGCGATTTATATAATATAGATATGCATATATATACATACATATCTATGATATACATCACAGATAAAGTATCTTTCCATCTTGACAATAAGAAACTGAGAGAGTAATTAAATATTGTTTACACGGTTACATGGTGAACTTTTTGCTGAAGACAGAATCAAACTCAGGTACATAGGACTCCAAAACATCACCCACCATACTCTCATACCTCTCATTATATATGCGATCCAAAGGCTGGAGCCAAGGATTTGATCTTCACACACACTGCAATTCAGGGCTCCTTGCATTTTGAAAAGTTAGCATTTAGCATCATATTAAAATAAAAAGTTAAAGTAAAAATAATAAAATTAAATTGTTATGCAAGTAGGCAGATAGGAACACAGAAAAAAAAAGAACTCACTTTTCATGCAAGGAATTTCTGGTTTGCAGCTGGTAAATGTCTCCAGGGGACAGTTGCTTGAAGGCAGTATTATATCATATAGGGAACATGCTCTGTGAAATTAAAAAAAAATAAAAGTTCAAACCCTGGCTCAGCCACTTTCTATATGTGTGACTTTAGGAATTTCTCTGAGCATCCGTTTTCTCTCCTGTAATCCTATCACTGAACTGAATAAGGATTAGGCATGTGATGAAAGCACATCCTAGTACCTGAGCATCACAAATATACCTTCTCTTTCCTTCCACTTCATGTAATGAAAACAAAGCAATTCTGGTCACCGTGGTTGCCCTGTGCTTTATGTAAGGGTCATGTCCATATATGTCCATTTTTGCCTTAACTCTTAGCAGCATATGCTATGTACATAATAGTAGGCTCAAAAACACTCGTTGATGATAAAAACCAACAGCTGAATAAATGAATACTTGGTGGTTAGTATATTGATCTTGGTTATAGGTCCCAGACTGGTAGTGCTCCTATTGAATCTTTTGCAGTGGCATAGTAAACAATAAATGTTTGCAGAATGGAAAGCCATATTTTTTACTAAGACTTTCTATTTTAGGATATAATATAAATGCAACTCTTCTCACTAATCTGACAGCCTCCACACCAAAAGCGAGTTACATCTCCTTCATTCAGAGTAATGGGGTACATTGTACAGAAGTTGGGACTTCTTGAGTCAAAATTTGTGGTGGGGGGCTTCCCTGGTGGCGCAGTGGTTGAGAATCTGCCTGCCAATGCAAGGGACACGGGTTCGAGCCCTGGTCTGGGAAGATCCCACATGCCGCGGAGCAACTAGGCCCATGAGCCACAACTACTGAGCCTGCGCTTCTGAAGCCTGTGCTCCGCAACAAGAGAGGCCGCGACAGTGAGAGGCCCGCGCACCGCGATGAAGAGTGCCCCCGCTCGCCGCAACTAGAGAAAGCCCACGCACAGAAACGAAGACCCAACACAGCCAAAAATAAATAAATAAATAAAGTAATAAATTAATTAAATTAAAAAAACATTTGTGGTGGGATTGACAGATAAAATACAGGGCACCCAGTTAAAGTTGAATTTCAGATAAACAATAATTTTTTTGTTTAATTATGCACTAAATATATCATGGGTCATTCTTACACTAAAAAAGTATTGTTATTTATCTGAAATTCGGCTTTAACTGGGCATCCTGTAATTTTATTTACCAAATCTGCCAACACTACTTGTGAGGCTACAGTAAAACTAAAAGATAAAGGTCCTACTTCATCCTGGCACCAGGGTGCAAAGGGGAGGCTGTTCGTATCTTTAATTGCCGCTCTTGCATTGCTTTTAATCTCCCAAACCACTTAGACCACTAAGCAAAGCCAAACCCCCCGCCAAGGGACCCTGCATGTCACCAACTTCACTCTGGACCTTTGGCCTCATTCCAAAAGGCACTTGACTAAATATCAAAAGTGAGAGACCTGCAGTTACAGTACCATCTTCTCTTGCTATTTGTAAGATCTTCTGCAGGTCACTTAATGTTCTCAGTTTCTGAGCCCAGTGAGCTCTGCATACTCCACAAGATTGGTCAAGCTTAAACTTACACAGATGTAAAATCATTATTTACAGAACTATCACATGCTGTACAAGTGATAGAATTTCTCCTCGTCATCATTATTATACTACTTTCAACCTTGTAACACACTTGTAGTTAGATCATACCTTTTCTGTCAAAGACTATGCAGTCCATCACAGAGTGCTTAAGAACCCGGATTTTACTACCAGGCAAACATGGGATTGAATTCTGATTCTGCCACTTACCATCTCTGTGACTTTGACCCGCTTCTAAACCTCTCTCAACTTCCATTTCTTTACCTTTAACTTCGGATAATAACTTTGCCCCCCTCATAGTGTTGCTGTGAGAATAAAATGAGATAATGCACGTAGATTGCCTGTCATAGGTATGTGCTCAGAAAACGCTACCTATTATTATATCATCCTCCTTATTATCATTTCCATAGGTCCAGGGATTACATGAGAAAAATACATTAAAACCAAGCAATCTGCATTTCAGTCCCAGCCCTGGCATTTACTAGCTGCTTTAACTCTGAACAAGTTACTTAACCTCCGTGAGCTTCAGTTTTCTCATCTGGAAAGAGAACCAGTGTCTGCCTAAGCATCAATATCTGTTGCTCTGTTTGGTTTCAGGAATAAGTGACATAATGCACGTGAAGACAATAACCAGGCAGGCACTAGATATGCAATAAATGTAACTCTATGAGGCTATATAATTAGTGAGAGGGGGTATAAAGAGCTCTAGGGTTCCCTACAATGAAAGAAACTTCCCTTTCTTCTTGCTGAGAATCACCCTGAGATTCCTTTCTGTTTTTCAGATGACAAACCAGAGAGCAAGTCAAATGACAAGCCAGATGACTCGGGCAAAACCCTAGAACCAGGCTTTCCAAAATTCCTAAGCCTCTTGGGCTCGGAGATCATTGAGAATACGGTGGAGTTCATCGTCTGCTCCATGATGAGGAGCAAGTAAGCACTGAGACAAACCTTGCTTTTGTCCAGTTCGCCGTTGGTAATGACCACATTGCATTAAAATGAATGAGAAACAAAATTGCATGCATGCCAATGTATTGTTTTAATTGAAACTTGTTGCCTACCTTAAGATATATTTGCATCTGCATGAATTTCCCTGAACTCTTTTGGGGTGAACACGTTCCCAAGGAATTTATGGAACAAGGGGTTCCATAAAATATTTTTTATTTCAGGACCGAGTAGGGAGGAAGAAGGCCACCAGACCGAGGGACGGAAAGCCATGTTCTGGTCTTGACACAGGTGTTATTTACTGGGTGATCTGGAGTTAGGCTTTCCCTCCCTGAGTGCCTCAATTTGCTAATCTGTAAAGTTAAAGGAATAAAGGACCCACCCAGTGCAGACACAGTAATTTGCTGATGAAAGTGGTGGGTAGAGGTGTGCTCATTAGTGAGAGGTATGGTGAGTCCCGTCTTTATTTTCTGGTTTGAGTAATTCAAGAGGGTTAGCAGACACAGTAGCTAATCTCTCCTCAGAGGCAATCTGAAGAACCTCTCTTATGAGGGTTTGTTTTGATCACGAGAGATTGCCTTGATGGCAAATTCCACAACCCAGACTCTTCCCATTATTTTCAACCTGCTTCCAAGCTCCTGTGCCCAACTCCTAATGCCTCCTACCCAAGTTTACATAGCTCTGATTTTTACATCTACTTTACCCTTTCTTCATTCTTCCGACATTAATCTCCCCAAGTTCAGCTCTCCAGGGTCTACTTCGTTCTTTTGAATTTCTAGGTGCTTTCAATCTCCACCTCTCTGAGGCTCTGCTCTCTAATTCTCTCCTTCACAGCCCCCTAAGCAGAGTTTGACAAAGTGCAGTCTATTACCTGCTTCAGAATCGCCTGGAGAACTTATCCAAAATGCAGGTCCCTTCGTCCCATCTTGCACCTTCCTAGGGCAAGGCTATATAACAAGCCTTTATAACAAGCTTTATAACAAGCTTTTTAACAAGCTTTCAGGTGATTCTTATATACAACAAATTTTGAGAGCCCTTGATTGGATGCTCTGGGCTACATGGCTGAGCCTTAAAGGTCCACACAGCCTTTAAATTTGTATTCATCTTTTGTGTAGATGTGAATCTTTGTATTTTTCTAGGGAAAGTGCTTCTGACTTTATAAGATTCTCAGAAAGGTCTATTACCAGTAACAGATTAAGAGCCACTTCTATATAGAAGTGATCAGGGGTCATTTTGTATCCCTTGATCTGCTTAAATCCATATATTACTACCATGTGAATGGGCATAATTCTGCATACAATCATCATGAACAAACTGTTAAAACACAGATGTTTATTCTGTGTTTTTATTTTTCTTATTGTGGTTGCTTTTGCAACTGTTGAGTTCCCGTGACTGTTAGTGTAAACAAGGAAAAAACTGAATAACACCTATTATGTACAAAGTAGAGTTTAGACTCCAGTTGAATTCATATTGTTATAAATCACAACAATAGCAAGGCAAAGAATTAGAATAATAATTCTTTTTATTCCTTCCCTGGGGAATTCCCTAGATATAAAATAGCCCTTGTTTCCTCTGTTAACTCTGAAAGTTGACTATCTGAAATACTAAAGAATTGTTAGCTCTGGGTTCAGAAATGGCACTTCTTCTACCATTTTCTTTTTCCCTCATTTTATTCTGGGTATATGATATTCTTTCTGTTCTTGGAACTTACAACTGTCTCAGGCTCTCTGCTCGTGCTTTAATTTCTGCCTAAAACGCTCTTTTTCCCCTCCTAGCTAGTGCTTTGTCTTGCCTCTCATCTAAAAGTCACCTCCTCTGAAAACGATTCTATAACCACTCTTATTAATACAACTTCTTTTATTCCCTGGTTATTCTCTATCACTTTACCTTGTCATTATGTCATTATAACATATCACCATCTCACATGATTAATTTATTTTTAATCATGTAACTATATGAAAGTAGAGATCAGATCTCTCTAGCTCATTGCTATAGCACAGTGCCCTGTAAGTCATATTGGGCACTTAGTAAATAATTGTTGAATTAATTAAATAAGGAAAGGAATCTTAGAGATCAGATCTAAAGCTCACATACCCCAATTTGACTGAGACATTTTGAGGGATCTTTGTTGAAAGATACAGCAGTCCTTGCTCAAGGGAACAAATCTAACTGTCCTCACTCTGTCCAAGAAAAGACCATAAACATAACAGGGAATGGGAAATGGGAAGAGGCCAGCAAGAAGTATTCCTAAGAACTTAACACATGCTTAGGAAAGTAGGGGCAGGAACTGTGAAGGAAAAAAGTCTAGACTTTAAGCCCCTTCTCCTCAAAGAATTTGCTGTCCTTATTGTATAAGATGGCATGAGCAAATACAATGATAACTAAAATGCTGAATAAGGTAAATGTCAGCCAAACATCACAGTTAATGTCTAAGGAAAGGAGCTGTCACTGGGGCCAGGATGCTTCAGGGGAGAGTTTCTGGCAAAGGTAAGAAGAAATCTGGGTCATAAAAGACTCAATGAGATTTCATTAGAAAGAGAGAATTACAAAAATATGGAACTTCATAAAGACAGACTATTTGCTTTATTTAGTCCTATGTATCCAATGCCTAAATACTGTGTCAAGCACATAATAAATGCTGGACCATAGTTTACTCATCTCTTACCTTCTCAGCAGCTACCCCACACCCAATCCTTAAACAGTGGAATGGCCTCTGGTATTAATTCATGCTTCTGGAGACCTAAGTTTTAGACTTTGCTTTGCAATTTACCAGCCATATAACTTGGACAGGTTTTTAATCTCTTTGAGCTTCAGAGGTTTTTTCATATGTAAAATGATTAAAATTCATTCATGTATCCGTTCAACAAATATTTACTAATTCATACTATATGCTAGGCACTGTTCTAGGTGCTGGGGATATATTGTGAAACAAATATATCAAAATATCTGTCTTTATAGAGTTTATATAGGAATAGACATCAAACTAATAGATTTGTTGGCAGATTTAAAGAGATAATTATGTATAATGGCTTGTCAAATTTGAACTATTATGGAAATCTTAGACCTTACTACTTTATGACATAGGAAAACTTGAAGTATTGCTCAAATATTATAAGATACGTTAGTGATGATTCTAACATTCCTGATCAGTCTAAATCATAATTCATTTTTTCCTCTTTTTTTTTTAAGAGGATATATGGAATGTGATGATAAACAAGAAAAAGATTCATCAGAGTGACTTCAACCAGGTGATTTTAACCTAAAAACTTACAACCAGAAAATAGTATATTGAACAAAGGAAAAAGGGTCTGTCTGATTTACTTGATAAATTTGGGAACCCACATTTACCCATAAGCAGAAAAGGGGTATTTTTTTGTGTGTTTTTGCTTTATTCTTTTAGTCGTTTTTTTAAAATTGATTTTAAGTAGATGTATTTTTATCATCTCAAAGTCACTGACTTAATAAGATTTTCTTAAAAGAAGAAGCACAGTTGTGGGGTGAAACAAGTAAGAGCTGGAAGTGAGGAGATCTGGTCCTGTCACAACTCTGCTTGGAACTTGACTTGTGCAAGTTCCGCCTATGAAAGGAGGGGTTATATGCACTAATATCTAAAGACCCAGGTAAACAGGCCATTAGTTACTCATGAGAAGAGTGAGATTTACTGAACCTAATTCCAGGAGAAAGGTAGTAAGCTCTCTAATCCTGCAGTTAGATTTATGTGCAAACAGTCTGGTTTGAGTCCTCAGAGATACCTGCTGTTTCCTTATGCAGTTCTCTCTTGAGAATGGATATTGAAATATAAATACAGAAATGTTAGACTTGAGAAAGTAATTCTATAAGTAACTAGCATGAACTTAGTACTTCTGTTTTAGGCAGTAAATTAATGCTGTATATGTAGTACCTAATTTAATTCTATCTAACATTCCCTATGAAAAATATGTATTGCTATTCTTAAATTTTATAAATAATGAAACCAAGTCTCAGGGAGCTTAATTAATGTGGCCAAGTTAATAAGGGAGGAGGGGTGGATCTGAATTCAAACAGCCTGATTCCAGTTTGTGCTCTATCACTCAGCAATAGAGCTACTGAAGAGCGAATAGTGTAGGAAGAGGCAGTAGAGAATAGTGATTAAGCTGTGTGATCTTAGACATACCTCAAGGTGCCCATAGAAATAAAACCCTACCCCTTTGGTTAGTTGAATTACCTTATATGCATCTCCAGGAATTATGGCCTTTCCCAACTTTTTCCCTACTGGCTTCAAGGGAAAGTGATTGGGAGTGATTGGGAGTGATCACTTCAAGGGAGTGATTGGCGTGAGCTTAGAAAGCTATTATCATATTACCCTGGAACTTAGCCCACCCTTTTCCTTAAGCTTCTAAGGAGGGAAATCAGACTTGCACATGGGAATCAAGATGTGCTCAACGCAGACACACCTGAATCTCACCCCAAAGAGAGCTAAGCTTCTAAAAACACTCACTTATGTTTGCATCTTCCCATTCCCATCTTCTTAGGGAACAGCCTACCTCTTGTTGCAGGTATCCTAACCCTTTGCCTTCATTCAGGCTCATTGGTGCTCACACCCTGAATCTTTGGAGTGCCATCCTAGAGGCTCAATGTATGAGACAGTCCAATAAGCAAGTCAACATGAAATTTTAGAAAGAGCAAAAGCCATAGAGAAGATGTAAGTTCAGCTTCTATCTTGGCCTCTTATTGGTTGTGTGACCATGGGGAGGTCAGTTGGTCTCCATGAGTCTCACTTTACTCCTTATTAATACTTAAAACATTTGGAACTTAATTGTTCCAGACCTTAACGTCGGAAATTTTTTAACTGCATATAAAAATACTTTGAGTGGATTCACAAACCAACTGTAGATGCCCTAATGGGCAGAGAGGAATGGCTCTGTCTAGGGATATAAACCAAATGGACTAGAGAGAAAGAAGCTTCTAAGGCAGAGATTAAATTTTGGATGGTTTGATCAAGGCTGTCTCTCCAAACTCCAGTGACTGTTCATTTAATAAATAGTTTTAAAAGTTGCATTTGTATGATAAGTGTCTCATCAAATCAAAAGCAAATCATGACTTTAGAATGAGTGATTCACAGCAATGCCTATTTCTCCAGTATAGAAAATCTGGCCAAAGTTTTAGGTATTTCCTAAAGTAAGATAGGTAGATATATAGATATCCCGTTTTTCTCCTACGACATTTGCCTCTATCTTACATAGTCCTTTAAAGCTTATTTAACCCACGCCTACTATGTGTCAGATTCTGCCAATGCTACCAAGATGAGTAATACTGTCTCATCATTAACAAGTTTATGGTTTGGACTATCACCTAGCACAGTGCACCCCAGGACTGTGCAGGAAAACAATGAAGTTCTATGTACAAGTGCCGTGGACATGCCTTGGAGGAAAGGGTGGGCATTAAGAGGGCTTCACAAAGAAGGTGAATTTCCGCATGCAATCTCAGATGATGAGCAGAAAAGGGCAAGTTCTCAAAAACTAATCATCCAATAATTGGACACCTAATTAATCTGAGATTCTCCCAACCTCAGCTCAATCACATTGACATGATTTCCTTATGTTAATAATTTTACAATCTTAACTCCTAATGTCTTGCATCACTTGAAATCATGGGGATTCAAGTCTCCCAGTGTCTTAAGTCATTTGACATCTTCAAGTATAAATTACCTTTCTTGTGTTAAAATAAGAATCCAATGAACCTCACCAGATTATGAAACAAGTAAAAGATGGGAAAGCACTTTGTGAATTCTTAATATCTATGTACATTTTTAAAATTAAGAACATAATGTACTTGGACACACTCGATGACATGTTTCGACCTGCTGAGTCAGAACTTCCTAGTGAGGGAGGTAGGAATAAATAAATTTAATAGGAAATCCTCAAGTAACTAATGAGTAAAATTGCAGATGGGCATGACATCACTCAATATCCACCCCATGAAGTCTGATGGGAAATATTTCTTTTAGAATTTAGAGCAAGAAAAAAAAATTTCCTTCCCTCAGTACTGCTTCCTCATTTCTGGTTATAAGATTTATGTAGCTTGGTTTATTTCATTTATTTACTTTTCCTGTCTATCCAGAAACTCAAAGAGAAACTGATGACTCAATTTACTCCAGTAAACATATGTGCATTCTCCCTTCATCCCTGTTGTTGATTCTTGCCTTTTCATTTTTGTTGTTGTTGCTTGTTTCTTCAAATATATATTATAGTTGATTTCATTATAAATCATCTCAAGTTCTAAAGGGCAGAGATGTAAATCTTAAAGAAAAGATTAAAATATCTTTGTATTTTTCTTAAGTCTTTAAGCCCTCTTTAGCTGGTAATTGTTTCCCTGTCTCTGGTTTATGTTTCTAAGGACACCTGCATGGCTCCAGAATAAGTCAAGGACACCTGAATCCTGCTTTTCCAGTTCTTTGTTTCACAAGTCCTCCAGGACAGAGACCTCAATGCAGCTTCCAGCAAGTTCTCAGGATTCAGGTCCTGGCTTCAACCAAAGACAGCTTCTTTTGAACATCCTGACTTTGCATTTTTGCTTCTAGAAGTCAAAATAATTGTGTCCTCTTTGGGGACACATATCCTACTTCATTAATATTTTTGTTGGTGGAAGTAATTTTTCCTGAAGCATGTTTAAAGTTTTTAATGATGCAAAAAATATGAAATATATAAAAATTATTATCCAGAATAACTGAAGAACATTTCAAATTAAGAAAACTAAATTTCAGATAACATAAGGCCAAAGTCACAGAACCAGTAAGCAACAGAAAGATTTGAACCTGACTCCAAAGAAAAAACCCTTAACCCCTAAAAATGCATGAGGTGAATTTCAGAGTTAAAAGTTTCATAAACCCTTTTAGGAAAAGTTTTTCAAAAAATCTGAGCCTACACTCCTGGGCTAGTAAACTAAAAACTGACCTTTAAAAAAAAATTAACAAGGTTATTGCTGTTCCACAGTTTTTATTACTCTCATAGAATAGCAGAGTGCCCTTGAAGACATTTGAAAATGGTGGATGGAAGAGTCCTTGACAAGTCTAGTGCAGTTCTTTCATTTCTTCTACCACTTGTTACACAGATGTAGGTCCTCAGTGGCAATTGGTGTGGTTCTTCCCCACTTGTTCATAAAGGATTGAACCATTGTCAAACCTGACCCAACTGAGCCAAGAAAATTCTCCCAGAATTATTTAATATGGACAGTAAGACAAGACTGAAATCATAAAGCACAATGACAATTATGGCAGCACTCTAGTCTAGATGGGAGGGAAGCTCAAGAGGGAGGGGATATGGGGATATATGTATACTTATAGCTAATACACTTTGTTGTACAACAGAAACTAACACAACATTGTAAAGTAATTACACTAAAATAAAGATATTAAAAAAAAAATCTGTGTGCTTCTGTCCTGGATTCCTGTTCTCCCAAGCGCTTTGACTCTGAAAGCAACTCCAGTGTATTTTCAGTAAACCTTTTTTTTTTAACATCTTTATCAGAGTATAATTGCTGTACAGTGGTGTGTTAGTTTCTGATTTATAACAAAGTGAATCAGCTGTACATATACATATATCACCATATCTCCTCCCTCTTGCGTCTCCCTCCCACCGACCCTATCCCACCCCTCTAGGTGGTCTCAAAGCACCGAGCTGATCTCCCTGTGCTACACGGCTGCTTCCCACTAGCTAACTATTTTACATTTGGTAGTGTATATATGTCCATGCCACTCTCTCACTTCATCGCAGCTTACACTTCCCCCTCCCTGTGTCCTCAAGTCCATTCTCTACGTCTGCGTCTTTAGTCTTTATTCCTGACCTGCCCCTAGGTTATTCAGAACATTTTTTTTTTTTAAGATTCCATATATATGTGTACGGTATTTCTTTTTCTCTTTCTGACTTTCTTCACTCTGTATGACAGAATCTAGGTCCATCCACTTCACTACAAATAACTCAATTTCGTTTCTTTTGATGGCTGAGTAATATTCCATTGTATATATGTGCCACATCTTCCTTACCCATTCATCTGTCGATGGACACTTAGGTTGCTTCCATGTCCTGGCTATTGTAAATAGAGCTGCAATGAACATTGTGGTACATGACTCTTTTTGAATTATGGTTTTCTCGGGGTATATGCCCAGTAGGCAATTGTTGAGTCGTATGGTAGTTCTACTCTTAGTTTTTTAAGGAACCTCCATACTGCTCTCCATAGTGGCTGTATAAATTTACAGTCCACCTACAATGCAAGAGGGTTCCCTTTTCTCCACACCCTCTCCAGCATTTATTGTTTGCAGATTTTTTGATGATGGCCATTCTGACTGGTGTGAGGTGATAGCTCATTGTAGTTTTGATTTGCATTTCTCTAATGATTAGTGATGTTGAGCATCCTTTCATGTGTTTGTTGGCAATCTGTGTATCTTCTTTGGAGGAATGTCTATTTAGGTCTTCTGCCCATATTTGGATTGGGTTATTTGTTTTTTTGATATTGAGCTGCATGAGCTGCTTGTATATTTTGGAGATTAATCCTTTGTCAGTTGCTTCATTTGCAAATATATTCTCCCATTCTGAGGGTTGTCTTTTTGTCTTGCTTATGGTTTCCTCTCCTGTGCAAAAGCTTTTAAGTTTCATTAGGTCCCATTTGTTTATTTTTGTTTTTATTTCCATTTCTCCAAGAGATGGGTCAAAAAGGATCTTGCTGTGATTTACGTCATAGAGTGTTCTGCCTATGTTTTCCCCTAAGAGTTTTAGAGTGTCTGGCTTTACATTTAGGTCTTTAATCCATTTTGAGTTTATTTTGGGGTATGGTGTTAGGAAGTGTTCTAATTTCACTCTTTTACCTGTAGCTGTCCAGTGTTCCCAGCACCATTTATAAAGAGGTTGTCTTTTCTCCATTGTATATTCTTGCTTCCTTTATCAAAGTTAAGGTGACCATATGTGCATGGGTTTATCTCTGGGCTTTCTATCCTGTTCCATTGATTTATATTTCTGTTTTTGTGCCACTACCATACTGTCTTGATTACTGTAGCTTTGTAGTATAGTCTGAAGTCAGGGAGCCTTATTCCTCCAGCTCTGTTTTTCTTTCTCAAGATTGCTTTGGCTATTTGGGGTCTTTTGCGTTTCCATACAAATTGTGAAATTTTTTGTTCTAGTTCTGTGAAAAATGCAATTGGTAGTTTCATAGGGATTACGTTGAATCTGTAGATTGCTTTGGGTACTATAGTCATTTTCACAATGTTGATTCTTCTAATCCAAGAACGTGGTGTATCTCTCCATCTGTTTGTATCATCTTTAATTTCTTTCATCAGTCTCTTATGGTTTTCTGCATAAAGTTCTTTTGTCTCCTTAAGTAGGTTTATTCCCAGGTATTTTATTCTTTTTCTGGCAATGGTAAATGGGAGTGTTTCCTTAATTTCTCTTTCAGATTTTTCATCATTAATGTATAGGAATGAAAGAGATTTCTGTGCATTAATTTTGAATCCCGCTACTTTGCCAAATTCATTGATTAGCTCTAGTAGTTTTCTGGTAGCATCTTTAGGATTCTCTATGTATAGTATCATGTCATCTGCAAACAGTGACAGTTTTACTTCTTCTTTTCAGATTTGGATTCCTTTTATTTCTTTTTCTTCTCTGATTGCTGTGGCTAAAACTTCCAAAATTGTGTTGAATAAGAGTGGTGAGAGTGGGCTACCTTGTCTTTTCCCTGATCTTAGTGGACATGGTTTCAGTTGTTCACCATTGAGAACGATGTTGGCTGTGGGTTTGTCATATATGGCCTTTATTATGTTGAGGTAAGTTCTATGTCTACTTTCTGGAGGGTTTTTATCATAAACAGGTGTTGAATTTTGTCAAAAGTCTTTTCTGCATCTGTTGAGATTATCATATGGTTTTTATCATTCTGTTTGTTAATATGGTGTATCACATTGATTGATTTGCATATATTGAAGAATCCTTGCATTCCTGGGATAAACCCCACTTGATCATGGTCTATGAACCTTTTAATGTGTTGTTGGATTCTGTTTGCTAGTATTTTGTTGAGGATTTTTGCATCTATGTACATCAGTGATATTAGCCTGTAGTTTTCTTTTTTTGTGACATCATTGTCTGATTTTGTTATCAGTGGATGGTGGCCTTGTAGAATGAGTTTGGGAGTGTTCCTCCCTCTGCTATATTTTGGAAGAGTTTGAGAGGGATAGGCGTTAGCTCTTCTCTAAATGTTTCATAGAATTCGTCTGTGAAGCCATCTGGTCCTGGGCTTTTGTTTGTTGGAAGATTTTTAATCACAGTTTCAAGTTCAGTGCTTGTAATTTGTCTTTATATTTCTATTTCTTCCTAGTTCAGTCTTGGAAGGTTGTGGTTTTCTAAGAATTTTTCCATTTCTTCCAGGTTGTCCATTTTTTTAGCATAGAGTTGCTTGTAGTAATCTCTCATGATCCTTTGTATTTCACTAGTGTCAGTTGTTACTTCTCCATTTTCATTTCTAATTCTATTGATTTGAATGTTCTCCCTATTTTTCTTGATGAGTCTGGCTAATGGTTTATCAATTTTTTTAATTTCTCAAGAACCAGCTATTAGTTTTATTGGTCTTTGCTATCATTTCCTTCATTACTTTTTCATTTATTTCTGATCTGATCTTTATGATTTCTTTCCTTCTGCTAACTTTGGGGGTTTTTTGTTCTCCTTTCTCTGACTGATTTAGGTGTAAGGTTAGTTTGTTTATTTGAGATGTTTCTTGTTTCTTGAGGTACGATTGTATTGATATAAACTTCCCCCTTAGAACTGCTTGGCTGCATCCCATAGGTTTTGGATCACTGGTTTTCATTGTCATTTGTTTCTAGGTATTTTTTGATTACCTCTTTGATTTCCTTAGTGATCTCTTGTTTATTTAATAGTGTATTGTTTTGCCTCCACGTGTTTGTATTTTTTACAGATTTTTTTTACTGTAATTGATATGTAGTCTCATAGCGCTGTGGTTGGAAAATGTACTTGATATGAGTTCAATTTTCTTAAATTAAGCAAAGCTTGATTTGTGACCCAAGATATGTTCTATCCTAGAGAATGTTCCATGAGCACTTGAGAAGAAAGTGTATTCTGTTCTTTTTGGATGGAATGTCCTATTTATATCAATTAAGTCCATCTTGTTTAAAGTATCATTTAAGGCTGGTGTTTCCTTATTTATTTTCATTTTGGATGATCTGTCCATTGGTTAAAGTGGGGTGTTAAAGTCCCCTACTATTATTGTGGTACTGTCGATTTCCCCTTTTATGGCTGTTAGCATTTACCTTAGGCATTGAGGTGCTCCTATGTTGGGTGCATAAATATTTACAACTGTTATATCTTCTCCTTGGATTGATCCCTTTATCATTATGTGGTGTCCCTCTTTGCCTCTTGTAATAGTCTTTATTTTAAAGTCTAATTTGTCTGATATGAGAATTGTTACTTCTGCTTTCTTTTGATTTCCATTTGCATGGAATATCTTTTTCCATCCCCTCACTTTCAGTCTGTATGTGTCCCTAGGTCTGAAGTGGGTCTCTTGTAGACAACATATATACGGGTCTTGTTTTTGCATCCATTCAGGCAGTCTACGTCTTTTGGTTGGAGCATTTAATCCATTTACATTTAAGGTAGTTATCGATATGTATGTTCCTATTACCATTTTCTTAATTGTTTTGGGTTTGTTATTGTAGGTCTTTTCCTTCTCTTGTGCTTCCTGCCTAGAGAAGTTCCTTTAGCATTTGTTGTAAAGCTGGTTTGGTGGTGCAGGATCCTCTTAGTGTTTGCTTGTCTGTAAAGGTTTTAATTTTTCCGTTGAATCTGAATGACATCCTTGTTCGGTAGAGTAATCTTGGTTGTAGGTTTTTCCCTTTCATCACTTTAAATATGTCCTGCCACTCCTTTCTGGCTTGCAGAGTTTCTGCTGAAAGATCAGCTGTTCACCTTATGGGGATTCCCTTGTGTGTTATTTGTTGCTTTTCCCTTGCTGCTTTTAATATTTTTTCTTTGTATGTAATCTTTGGTAGTTTGCTTAATATGTGTCTTCGCATGTTTCTCCTTGGATTTATCCTGTATTGGACTCTCTGTACTTCCTGGACTTGATTGACTATTTCCTTTCTATATTAGGGAAGTTTTCAGCTATAATCTCTTCAAATATTTTATCAGTCCCTTTTTCTTTCTCTTCTTCTGAGACCCCTATAATTCGAATGTTGGCGCTTTTACTGTTGTCCCAGATGTCTCTGAGACTGTCCTCAATTCTTTTCATTTTTTGTTCTTTATTGTGCTCTGTGGTAGTTATTTCCATTATTTTATCT